CTAGCTGGAGAGATATTCCATGCCATATAACATCATGCAGAGAAATAAAAAGGGAAAAGAGGGGACTCTAGAAAGTTACCCCTCTTTTGCTCAGGAACTGTCTGAGCATCGGTCTACGCATGGGAGATGGTGAGTGATTGCCTTTGCATCACTTGTTTTCTTTCTCTCTTCTTTCCTTTCTCCTTTGCTTTATTAAAAAATTTTTATCTTGATCCACAAGTTACATTGCTTTTCCTTTCCTCTCTCCCTGTCCTACTGGGGCAGGGGAGTGGGGAGTGAGCAAGCAGCTGTGTGGTGCTTAGCTGACTGCTAGGGTTAACCCACAACAGTCTCATAAGGAAATACCCCCATAATTAAATGGGTTTACAAGTTATGGACACCAATCCTGACTTCTGTGGTAAAAAAGAACTTTGGGCTTTTAGCATTCCTGGAAATTGTAAGAAGCTCTTCCACAATGACATGGTGTTTTGTATGCAGCGTATTAATAATATTCCATAGTAACACTGACCAGTACTCTTCATAGACAAGTGCATGGTTCTTCAGTGTGATGCATAAAGGTGAGACCTTGGAGTTGATGGTGGATGTTGAGTTGAGTAGTGTGGAGAATATAAGGCAAGGATTGCCTTTTCAGAGGTGAACAGAGCTGTTTGAGAAACTATTAATCAGTCATAAAATAACTAAAATTTACAAAACCTTTCTGTGCTGATATGTCAAAAATCTGAATGTTGTCTCAGTAGATCAGTATACTCTTAAAATTGAGTTTATCAGGAAGAGAGCAGTTACTTTGGAATTTACTGTTGCAGTCCTACACAGCACTAAAAATGTAAGTAAATTAGAGCATCAAGGTAAGTTGTTTCAAGCTAATAAATTATCAAGAGAACTGTTGATTGCAATACTTTCAGATTAAGCAACAAAATATACATGTTTATAGACATGCCAGCTGCATGGGTCTTTAAACAGGCCTGGCTTTCCAGTGCTTATTCATTTACTGTGCATCATTTTATGATTATTTACTATAATTAGAAATAATCCTGACATATTAGCTTTCTCACCATGCTAAAATCTGATAACGTCTTTCAGACTGTTTCTGTTACTGTGTAGATGTGGAAGACACGTCTAAAGCTTTGAACTTGCAAGCCCGTAGTCACAGCAGGTCTGTCCACAGCAATCTACAAGTTTGCATTCCTACCACATGCAGTAAGGTTTTCTCTATAGACCCATGTCACCGAGGAATCCAGCAAGGAACAAGAAATCTTCAGTCGGAGGAGTGCCACAAGTGTGTGAAAAACTAGCCACACATAAACAGTAAAGGTCATTAGCAGACTCCTAAACTCCTGGCTAGGAATTAGTTTTTTGGATCATTAACGGTAAAAAGCCTAGGAAATGAATAGGACTCAGTGTCCTATTAAAAATTAGCCAGAACAATTAAAAGGTTTTCCAATTTCTAATGGGAACCAGACCTAATAGCTTATTTTCCCTTCTCTAGTGGGCTGTTTCCACATTTTGAATTACATTCATTTTATGCCCTTGTATTTTTAAAGAAATATCTTGAAGTATTTTTTCTGTATAGGAGTTGTAAATTATTTACAGTGAGGGTAGAGAAAGCTTGGGAAAGGTAGAATCTAGTGTCTCCCTAAGGACTGTGTTACTGATTCCAAGTCTTGTGACTCTAAACTAGTACACTTACCTGTGGCAGGATGTATTCTGGTGTGTGTCAATTTATGCTTTGCAGACTCCTAATACAGTTGCTGTATTATGTGATCCAACGAGTTAAAATGCTCATTTGATTGCAAATACACAGCGTTTTTTGGTGTGAGGTGTCTCTCCTTAGGGATTTCCCTAAACTCTTTTTCTGATTTCAACAGCAACCTTTCTGCTTTCATTTCAGTGTAAATTTTTATCTACTGAGTGGTTGGCTGATGGCTGTTTAAGAACTATCTTCTCCTCTACTGTATATTTTTCCTTAACCCTCAAATGACTTCAGCAGAACAAAATTGCAGTGAGCTTTTAGTATTTTAAACTGTAACTTTTGGAGAGGTGTGTGAAATACTTTCCTTATCTTTGCATCCTTGCAAGCATGTCTTACAAAACAACCCAAATGGAGGAAGAGATACAAAGAGAACAGCAATAAATTATGTTTTACACTGTCTGCTTTGCCTGCAGGCCTGCCACTCTGGAGGAAAACAAGCCCACAAGTTACCAAACTTTTTCACTCTATAGCTGTGACGGTCATTTCCCTCCCCATTTGCCTTAGGCTCTGAGTCTTCCCCACCTAGCCCTCTGGTAGTAATCAAGGTAATCTATGAACTAATTGTCAGTACAAGCCATATGATTTTCCTGAAAAGAAAAATAGAAAAAAATTAATTTGGACAAAGAAAATTAGACTGTAAGTAAATGGGATGGGGATGGGGGGAATAACAAAACAGAAGAAAGGCAGGACAAGATGATCTTCCTCACTATGTTCATCTAGTACTCTGCCATTTATTTACTCCAGATGCAGAATTCCTTTCTGCAGGGAGTGAATTGCCCTGTCATTAACATAAAATTAGCCCCAAATGATCTTGGCCAAGAGCTTTGAAATATATTAGTATAGAACCACACATTGAAAAACATGTGGGAATCCTTGTGGGTTTCCAGATGAGAGAATCTGCTGCTGATACAAATATAGTTATGTTTATGCAGCATAATAATCTGCTCTGTGGATATACTCTCGATACAACTGTGCTTCAAGTAGTGGTATAACTCCGTTACCGTGGTGCTCTGCCTGAGTGAATGCATCTGGTTTCTTATAGCGAGTCCATTCTAATAATGACTACTTGTAAACAGACATTGTCCTGCAAGTTAAAATACTCCTTCAAGAAATGTAAGGAATTTGGCGTGGGTTAGTAGATTAGATTGAGTGAAAATTTGAAAAATTCCATGTTTCATTTTTGATTTGTCATGTGCTTTGCTACTAACTGTTTTTCCCTGTCTGACTTATTTTTCATCAGTGAGTATTTCTGCACTAGGATTAAAATTTAAAAGCCCAAGAAAAGTTTGAAGAGGTCGCAATTTTTTCTTTGTTATCTAAATAAGTGCTTAAGGTTGATTTCAGTTATATTATCAAAAGTACATTGATTGATACCAAGATTAGCTGAATTTCAATATAATTACCTGGTTTTATGTTCATCTAAATAAAGCTCTCTACACATAACGATAGTCTGTAGAAGTTCTTTTTTTCTTTTTTTCTTTTTTTTTTTAAAAAAAGCCCATAGCTTCTCAGTTTCTTTAATGCAGTTGTCTTCTTTTGTATGTGCAGGAAGTGAACTCAAAGTGTCTTTGGGAAGGTAGTTGGTCTGTGCAGGAAAAGGCTAGTGGGTTGAATAAATTTATAAAACTGAGTTTGAGTTCATCAGCTAGTGTCTGAACTGTAGTCAGTCTATAGCAGCAGTTATTAGCTGTTATTAATGTTTGAACATGTAAATACAGAATGATGACCGAAAGTAACCTAAAATGTCTGTCTTGTTCACTTTCTAGTGTCACCTTGTAATCTTTAATAGCCACAACAAGTTTTACAAAGAAATAGGATTTCCTTCCTGACTGAAAACTGTCCCCATCCCTGAGCATGAATAATCAGTCCCTAGGCATAATCCATACACCCTGTACTATTTAGGCTGCAATCTCATCATGTCACATACATCAAAACAGGGTCATATCACTTCTGTAGTTGGATAAGAGACCTTCAGGGGGAAAAAAAAGTCAGCTAGATATCTGATACTGATCTTTCCTCTGAAATGACCTCTGAGATGACAGTAGCCCCGTGTGCTACCACAATGTAATTTCTGTATAATAATCATTACAGAGTGAATAAAATCACTGTTTGACATAAATCATTGTAGTCTTAGGGAGTTAATCACATTCTCAACTAATCCTTTGTGTCTTGGACAAACCGAGGTTTTGACTGTAGAAAGCACCCTTTTCCATTAAATGTTGCATAGTATCTATAATATGTATATATTGTTATAATATCTACTATACCTTATATTTCATGGGCAGATATATTATACAATATCTAAAATATGTCTTGTGTTTTTCCTTATAATCTTTAAATTGTCAGGGAGTACTGTGCTTCTCTATTACCAAGGAGCATTAAGGATTGTAAAAGCTAAAAGTAGGTCCTCATTGCAAACCCCTCTCAGCAAAACATCCTTTGCTATTCTTTACCATTAATATCAGTCATTATCTTTAATATCAAATTTTAAGAAATGTCCAGTAGAGGAAACCTGCATGATAAAAAGGGTTGGAGTGGGCCACTGGTTAAGTAAGATTTAATTGACTGAAAAGATACATCTGTGAGCTATCCAAGCAGTGACAGCTTGCAGAAAGCAGTAAAACTGTTGTACAGAAGACGAGGCTTTCTTCTGTCATATGCTGTGGGACATACTTGACGTGGTAAGTCCTGAAGATGGGTAACTGATGTGCTTTTTGTCATATGGTTGAGAGAGGCTCTGTTGCATTTCTACAGTCAAGAGTCTGGGAATACTTCAGTCAATATATGACAATCTTTGCGGGCTGATGCTGTCCCAAACCATTTTTGACCCCAGTTGCATCACCCCAATAGCTGAAAGCCTTTTACCAATGTGCTGTTTTGCTTTCGGTAGCTAAAATCTTAGTGTGTGTGTGTCTTTATGTACACACAGCAAACCAAGATATGTGAAAAAGTATGTGCTTTGCTAATTAAAAACCAGTGATATCTAGTAGTAGACAAAGGCCTCTCGGTGCCTTGTGGACATCAGACTTCTTTCCTAACTTTCAGCATCTAATCTATCTAGAACCTAGTGAAGATGTTGCATAAATGATGTAATTATGCAAATGCGTATGTAAATTCAGTTTGAATTGAAAAAACATTGATATCAGTTTAAGAGTTCTGCCAGTGCTTTTGTATCTCTCAAATTGGTTTTGGCGTTGCTTTTCATTAATTATATTTTGACAGAAGAAATTCTTGCCCTTTTTTTTTTCAGACTGAAAAACAAACGGGCCTCTCTGAAGAGCAGCTTAAGACCCTTCTGGAAGAATGTATGCAGCCTCAGAGAACAATAAGCAACGTTACCATGCCAAAGTCTCAGGAATCTCTTTCTTTTGGATTAAGTCCCCCTTGTTACACAAGTCAAGACTCTACTCCTCACTCCACATCTACTCTTTCCAAAATGTTAGTTGAAGACCATATTGTAGGGATGTTAACAGCTCACGAAAAGGCTGGACTTGAAGACAAAAGCTTATGTGTTAATGCAGAGAGTGAAATCCCTGGCTACTATACCAGCAAAGCACTGGCTGATAGTCAGTTATCAAAGGATTCACTGGCCCAAACAGAGGAACCTGATGACCTAGAAGGTTTACAGAAGATGGGAGATAAGAGTATTATTGAAGGTTACTTTATGTCAAGAGCACTCAACACAAAAAGGATGAAGAAACCTTCTTTCTTGGGTGAACCATTATATTGCATCAGTGTGAACAATGAGCCATCCACGGAGGCTGACATTCTCGGCATACCACTGCAAACCAAAGGAGGTGAGACTCTTAACAACCCTTTAGAATAGGCTTTTGATTATGATGAAAAAAACTAAGCAGGTTCTCACCAAAGGTATGCACCAATACACACTGATGATTATTAGGCAGAGCAAGGATATACTTTTTATAAAACACAAAACTGTGCCAAAAATAATACACACAAAAATAACAGAATGTTTATTAAAATTCTGCCCTGACATAGCTGGCTATAAGACTAGGACTCTTATGAAATGTATTATTGATGTTGATTAATTCTGTCAACTGGAAAACAGTGTTGACAACACATACGGATTAAGGTTTTGGTAGGAGAAAGTCATGTTCACCATTCTGTGGAGAGCAAATATTCTCACAGTAGTTGGTAGAACAATTCAGTCAAAAATCCAAGTGTTTCTTGAGTGTTTATAATAAAGTAAACTTGGTAGTATAGAAACAAACATGACCTAGCTATATTAAAAATAACAAATTGCTTTCAGGGAATTCAAATTTACACATAGAAGAAACCAGAATGAATAAATACTGCATAATTTCTATAAATCAGGTTTAGTTCAGTAAAAGAAAGAATAGACTTTAACTAGCACAATATTAAATTCAATCTATCTGGTATTATAAAAAGATTTTGGAAATGTCTCTTTTTTTTTTTTTTTAATGTCCTTTACTTAAATGCAATTATATAGTGATGTTGTAATCCAAATCTACAATTAGATTTTTAACCTAAGATCAATTCTCTTTCTGAAAAACAAGCTGTTCTCATAAGCCAGATTTTAGCCAGATACATCTACAGCTCATTTTTTGCATAAATGTTGTAACAGTGTGAAGTTATTTGTGATTAAATTGCTCTAGTTTAATTGTTTTAAAAATCAATACATTTTGCTAGGTTTGTTAAGATGGATCTTTCCTTATACTGGTAATCTATTCTGAATTTGGAGAAACATTTTTTCACATTCATTGGTACTTTAGAAGAACATCCTAATACCTCTTTACTATGTTATAATTTCTAAATTATGATCACAACTGTTTCTTTCATTTTTTTTACTTAACCTTTCTACAGTGAAAGGAATCTTATTTTTTTTTTTTTTCAGAGTGTTTCCACCTATCACAAAGCCAGAAGGCTTGTTATTGCTGTTTTTACACTGCCAGACAAACTTGGTGTCCAGACTCACCTGCTATATTTGCCCAGTTTGAGATTTAGGCCATAAATGTGATAGGAAGAAAACAGAAATACAGTAGCTCTTGAAAATTTGGGGTTTGGTGTGGGTTTTTTTTCTGCTAGGCTAGTTTTCAGCTAACTTCACATGTCAGCTTTGGTCTTCATGTAGATGGAAGGCATCAGAAGAGTGGAGCAAGAGTGTGCCCCAGAGGAGAGTGGGGTGGCAGTGGTGGTGATGTGGAACACCACAGAGAACCACCTCTGCCAGGGGCAACCTGCTCACACGCAGGAGTAACATGACTACATACTACACCACCAGTTGTCTTTAACAGCTGACAGGGAGAAACACTCAAGTCTAAATTGCTGCCTTCACACGAGTTAAAGTTCTTTAGTCTGAATAGATGTAGTACAGTCAGAGTCAAGCGTGACTCAGCCCCAGCTACCATCACCCATTATTAGTGTGTTTTAAGATGGGATGTGTTAAGTCAAGCAAAACACCAAGCACTGTAGCCACTATGTAGTGAAGTGAGCAGGTAACTATTTATACCTGTTGCAGTAGGCATAGTCACTACGAGGTAATTTTATTGCACAAGAGAGAAAGGAGATTTCAGCTATTCAGTAAATTTCCATGTCGAATATCTCATGGTAAAAGTCTTTAAAGTGAACGTGTTAACATCTATCGCATAATAATTTAAATATGTTCGAGTCATAATCATGCATTGTGTCATAGCAGTGCAAATGGGCTGGTTTGTTTATCTGTTTTCAGTAGTGGTTATGTTCAACCCATTAGACCTCAAGTCTGTATGGTTAATAAACACCTTGGTTTCATGATCATTTTGCTAATTATTTTTTTTTTTTAATTAAAAAAAGAGCCTGTAATGAATTTTCAAAGTCTGTAAATCTTTTCATTTTTATTTAAACAAAACCAAAACCAAGGATATAGTTAGAGATATCATAACCTCATCAGGCTTTGATTCTTTATCAGTGTCTGCTTTTAAAAAATGGTGTGAATAGGCAATCTTTAGGCACAATAAAAGTAAGTGCAAAATAAAACCCATTTCAGAGGTTTGTAATTATTTTTACATTAGTGCTAAATTAAGAATTGTTTTTACATTAATGCTTATTATTAATTTTTTTTTAACATTATTAATTGCTTTTACATTAGTGCTAAATATTTTGTAGTTAGCCATAAGTTTAAGTTCAAATTAATTATATTCAGATTTATTGCATCCCATTAATATTACTCTAATGCTAAAACATACATCCAAAATTAGCATTTAAATAGCAGTCCATTCTTACTCTTTTTGTCAATGTTCTGCTTTATGTACAGCATAAAGCAGAAAACCCTGATACCTTTCCATGGATTTAATTTGTTTCCTGCAAAGATGACTCAGTTCTGTCTGAAGCAATTATTCCTGGCCATAAGCAAAAGGTTGTGATGTTTATCAAATTTGTAAAGTTGCCTAGTGTATTCTGTAGGTAAGCTTGTTGTTAGTTCAGACATGATTAGATGTGCTCATTATACTGAGGAATGGAGATCCCTGTGGAGTCCAGTTTAAGGCAAGATGAAGGTGTGAGAAGTGTCAGGTGTTATTTTTACCTTTAAGAGACATTTACATAGTTGAGCTTTGTTATGGTCTTAATTCTAAAGGACATTTAAACATGTATGCATAATCTTCTATAAATAGTTTGATTTTCTGGCTTGCTACGTGTGATTTAAACTGTGTAGTGCTGTATAAGCAAACAAGACTGTGTGTGAAACTGGTTTAGCAGAATTTCATTTTTGCAGTCAGTATGATACTGTAGTCTGTGATATAGATTTAGTGTAATACAGTAAATTATATATATTTTAAGGAAAGCATAATTATTAACATAATCCTATACATATATCTGAAGGAAACTCTCATGTGCCTTCAGATATAAGTAATTCCTGTTTCTTGAAAGAAGCAATAATCTACATCACATTCATGTGATGTAAATACCTATATGTAAATATAGGCGATGTTTACCGAGATAAACAGAAGCCAGACTTACCCACATACAGATATGACAAGGCTGTTATTTCTCACTTATATGAGCCAATTAGCAATTATTTCCAGCTCTTTTTTTGGTGGCCATGTTTCGTTTTAAGTAGAAATTGTATCACAAAATGTTGTAATGTTGTTGATTTTTTTTTCCTCTTGAAAATAATACTGTGCTTGCAGCAGTTCAGCGTATGATTCTTTTCTTTTTTACAGATGATACGAAGATTGAAAGTTGAGGGGAGAGTGATTATATGCTTCTTTACACAACTGTTTTTCTGAAAGTGTGGTTAAACCTCCATCAGTTATATTATACTGACACGGTATCATTTCAGACGACCTCAAGGGAATGAATTATCATAACGGAAAACTGTTCCATGAACTGATATATTCTTAAGAGATAGTTATTATTATTATTATCATTATCATATATTGTTGCAGTTTGACTTCAAAATAAACTCTGCATTTCATTAAATTTCCTGTGAGTGTTCTATTTAATAAATAAATGTACATTTATGAAGCTATGTGTCTGATAGACATGCATGTCTTTGTTCGTGAAAAATATAAATAAAACTGGCAAAGTTTACTTTCTACTGATGAGATGTTATTAAAGCAGATATGAAATGTATATAATAATTTTATTTTTCTTCCTTTACACACAATCTACTTTTTAAATGAAGTTGGCTAAAGCCTGTCCTCCATTACCCCAGTGCAGTTTGCTGGAGCTTGCAGCCTGCCCGACTGCTGCGCCCCGACTCAGTGAAGGACCTAAATATGTCCTTGAGCTTCTTCCCCGTGGCTGTCTGCTGGACTGCTGGTTTGATTGAAGATAAAGGCTTGCAAAAGTCCTCTGCTGGATCAGAACATCCGCACCAGTCTGCTCAGCTGTGTCCGATTCGTGATCCTGTGAAGAGTGTAACTGCAAAGAGTCATATCCTCTAGTTCAGAAATGTAGCTAAGTGATGAAAGATCGCAGTCCCTTGTGAAGGCTTGGTCTGGATAAAAGTGAAGGAGTTCAGAAGTTTGCCCTAGCCATTACTAGATTGTGAAACCCTATAGAAATGGCTAGCTGGGGGGACCATAATACAGCTCTTTTGTGTTTGAGATAATAAGAAAAATTCATTACATGTTTTTGCTTGTCTTCTCTTTAATTACTATTTTTCCTGAATTTTCTACTTAGTTACAGAGCTGACGGTTAGGTTTTAATCTCACTGTAGTGTCAGAATAGGACAACATTATTAAAAAACCATGGTTCTCTTTTAATAGGTTTTTTTTTTTTTTGAGAGGGGAGAGATATTCTTAGCAAAGAAAACTCAGATTTTCCCATTGAGGAGCTCTCACTTGACTAAAACTAAAAGGACAATTCTCTCTCAGATACTATGCTAGCTGTTTAACATCCAACAAGAAAAGGTGTGTGGCTGGAATGTTAATTATACAGTGGCTGTGTCATGGCATAGGGTTTACTTGAACTAATCCGAATGTTTAAATTAATGCACATATTAGCCCAGATTTTAATCTCATTTACGGAGTTGCTAGTCTGAGTGGATATACACTCCTGAGGAAGTGGTAATTGTGTGGATATAACAGAGACCAGAATCTAACCTACTTTCTTTTAATTAAAAATGAAAATGGGACATTATATTTGTGACAAGCAAGTGCTATTTAGTGTTTGGTTTTCTGATATTTTTACTTGTTCTGCAACAGCAATAACAAACCCATGGATACTGGGTGTTCTGCACAGTCCCACTGCTCTGCGTAGGGTTGCTGTAAGCACGTTTCATGGAGCTTTGCAAATCTTGCCTAGAAGTATTTATTTTCCTTAAAAATTTTGTCTGTGTCATAATTCCTTTGCCATAAATATAAACAAAGCGATGCCAACAACTTATTTCAAGAGTATTTTCTGTGCCTGTATGATATTCACGCAGGTCTGTCCACTGGCTGTAATCTCTCCACAATCCAGTTAACTTCATGTGGAACTTGAGTCCTTCTCAAAACGCGTTGAAGTGCTCTGATAGTTTTTGAGGAGAATTAGGTTTTGTTTCAAGTTTTTATGTAGAATATAATGTATATTAAGAGAAATAATAATTAATTCTTACTTTTCTGATGTATTTTGGTATCTTCAATCTCTCACTGTTATGAAAAAGCTTTTCTTAGCACCCTCAAGGAAGAGCCTGTCGCTGGCTAAGCCGTACAACATCCCTGAAGCCATGAATACAGCTTTTCATTAAAATCTGGCATTTCAGGGATGAGGAGGTGAGTTTGAATGACTAGTGACTTGAGGTGTATATTCTAACAGGAACTCTGTTACTTCACTCCAGGTCTCGGGAAGTGCTGAGCACCCTGCACCAGTTGTAGTCACTGCAAACCGCAGGGACCTAGCACTCATGAAATGCTATTCCAAAGGCGCATAGGGCAGTACCCAAACTCAGAGAGTCAAAAATTAGTGACCTAATGTTTATCCATGCTTGGTTTTTACTGCATTCTATTAAATGACAGGTTCTTTGATAGATTTTATTTCCTGCTTGATGTTACAGGTGAAATATCAATTCAGGCCCCCTATTTTCAGTTTCAAGTAAAACTGTAGGAAATAAAATTACTTGGTAAAACATGGTTAGTGGTTTGAGGTACAGAATATTGACGACACATAAAGTTTAGTGACAAGGTAATTTGCTGAAACATCACCAATATCAGAGTAAAAGAAAAGTTGAGCCCAGGAGGATTCATGGGTTTTTCTTTGTTTTTCCAGTGTCTCTCTCCATTGTGACCTGCAATAACCCCTCCGCTGGGGCTACACTGGAATGTGGTGGCTTCTCCTCAGGGAGTGATGCAGCACTGATGAATGAGATATTTAAATGAATCTTTTTCATTTGCAACCTAACTCAGGATTTAGAAAGAGGTTTCCCAAAATACATACCTTCATTCAAGGTAACTTGTATTTGGTAAAAAGATTCGGATTCAGAAGTTAATTCTTCTTTACAGTCTTTCCTAGCTCCATTCATCCCAAACACAGCAGAGCACAGGAGACTGATTTTTTAATGTTATCCTTCTGGGTTTTGAGATCTTTTATATTGAGGAATAAGAAATTTCATGTGTGCACATCGGTTTGTGCTCTTTTCTTATTTCCCACTATGATGTTACAGCACATGATAGATAATTTTGTTCCAAAAATTTAATATTGGTGAAAGCAACATACCCATGAAGAGAAGATTTTGGTGTGCTTGCATCTGTATGTGAGCAATATATGACGAAACCATTCTGCCATTGCCACTGAGACTCCTCAGTAACATACATACAGCGCTGGTGTTTGTGGTGACCAGCACTCAGCTGTTGATACTGTTTTAGTCTAGTGGGTATGTTTTGATGGTGCATGATTTGCTCTTTTAAATAACAAACTCTATGGTGTTTATCTCTGAATGAGGAAAATAAGGGTGATTCAATAATTTTCATGAACCAGATGTGAATATATAAAAGTAGATATAAATTATATGTATTAATTTAATATATACTATATATAATATAAATACATATATTTGAGTAGGATGATTTAAAGAACTATAGTGTTGATTTCAGTATTCTGTAATGGTATGGGAAGTTCAGTCCAGCTTTACAGTTTCTATGCATATTTAGAGCAGCTGAGGGTCTTTTCCATTTCAAAGAGAAGTGACAGACTAAATATCCTGCTTTTAAAAAAAGAATATTTATTGACTATAGACAACAGTGATAAAAGGATTGCAGTTATATATCCAGAATTCAAGTTTAAATTGAAGTGATTCTACCAAGGAGTGAAAAAACTTACAGCTTCATCATAAAAAAAAAAAGAGGAAAATTCCCCACAAAAATTCTCAGTTAAATGCTTTCTTTCCAGGCCAGACGATGGCTGGTATCTACTTTGTGGATCTGTAGTGCATGCTTTCCCTCTCACTTCCCCAGCAGAACTCCTGCAGAGTCAGTGGACATGCTGAGCACAGAGTAAAAACAGGCTGTGCAAAAATTATCTGCAACATAGATCAGAGAGGAAAGGGCTGCTTAAACATGTCATCAGGGTAGCAAGGGCTAGTCTAGAAGTGCGAAAAAGTATGCCAGTAATTCATGTGCTAGAGAGGCTGCAATTTTACCTCCAAATCGGGGAAGGATAGGTGAGAGGCTGTTGTTTGCAACTCCATTTCTCTAATTTCAATAATGATAAGAATTTTTATATTTTATGAAACCCCCCCTATTTTCTAGATAAAATTTCAGTAAATAGTATGAGAATGTCTCTCCTCTCTTTGTTATGCTTCTGAGAGAGGCTTTCTAACCACAGCGTTAAATATTTCTCTTGCTTTTTATGTACAAAATCTGCTACACTGTTTACCCTTCCAAAGAGCATTTCCTCCCCCGTTTATAGAAAAAGAGCCTCACCTCTGGGAATCTCACAGTTTGAAGGGCAGACACAGAAGACAAGGTGGTTTGGCAGATAGTTAGGAAGTTGTTAAATTAGGAAAGTTTTTGAAATCTAGGAAAAATAGTAACTGTTTTTTTTTTTTTTGTTTTGTTTTGTTTTTTTTTTAAATTTTCAACAGATGTATTTATTGAGAAATAATTGCTCTTTTATTTGTAGCAAGATTTAAAGGTCAGGAAAACTGTTTCCTTTTTAAATAGAATAGAGGTGCTTGAATACTACTAATGCTATAACCTGCAGTTATCCAATTATACGTTTCATTGAGGGATTGGCTGGAATCCAGGTGCAGTAGTTAGAATAAAAGGCTCCCTGTCATTTAAGTCTATGTGAAATAGTTCACCGCTTGCAACTGAATCTGCAGTACCTTATCTATTATGCATTTAAACCCCCCAACAAACTGGAATACTCACAAGGGTGTATTAATTTCGAGAGTGTTAAGGTTCATGAATAATTTTGATTTATAGGCAGGTATTCTGTATTTTTTTCCCCCACTTAAAAATTTGTTCTCTCCTTGTGGAAATACTGTTCTATGTCATTATTTTCCTATTGTTTTTTTGTGTATTTGGTATGCATAGTTTTGGTGGGAAGGGTATTGCCAGAGGCATTCTACCCTGGTTTTACAATAACACTAAAATGGTCTCTCCATATGCATTTTGTTAGTGGAGTCATTAAGGGAGACTGACACAGTATCTAAGCAGCACTCTGTTTAGCTCTTGTATGTGTTGCCTAGGCTAGCAGTTCTTGAATTTGAAAACGGTTGAAAAATTAAAGATAAATGATGGCTGAGCTTCCTAGGATTTGCCTAAATTTGAAACCCCAAGTTTCCCTGTGATAAATGCCTAATTTTATGGATTTCCTATGTAAGATTTTATCTTTGAGACTTTTGCTTGCCAAACACTTTTCTCTAACAAGTTCTTTTCCTCTTGTTGTAACTCTGCTTAAATATTCAGACAACTTCGAGCACCTGTTCTTTCTCACTTAGAAAAGATGAGAAATAAGAGCTACTAGAACTCACCTTGTGGATAAATTAAGATGCTCTCTTCTCTAATTTTA